ATTCAATAGGATTTATATGAGCGAGGTGATTTTCACTCCAGTCTCAATTCCTCTGCACCTTCCACATCCTTCTCCTTAATGCCACACTGCAATTAGTCCGGCAGGGTTCCAACAGGGTGCTATTCGGTGTCAGAGTGTATTAAGAAGAGTAATGAAGCAGCAAAGGTTATCGAGTTTCTGCTCTGAGCGGGTGGCATGCTCTGTTGACACATCTAATGGCAAAGGGCCAAACCATGTTCTCATATAACTCCAGGACATTATCTGAGTTATATTAGGAATCACGTCTTTTATAGGCAACAAACGGGGAATTATTTCTTGCTCTAATTTGTGCCAGTGTAGACAGCAATGAAGGGAAGCGGTTTCAGATCTCATCCAAAGAAGCGTTGTGTCCTATGCTTACAAGTTGCATGGAGAAAGAGGATGACAAGAAGCTTTTCCCCCTCGCAGCTCTGCTCCCAGAGAGTGGGAGTTCAGCCTCTCCCTGTCTCACACGTGGGTGAAAAGGGGAGGCTGACCAGGGAATAGCAAAACCACAACAGGATTTGTTAGTAAATGGTTCTGCATCTTGACTGTAAAGCACTTACTGTCTCCTTGTCGACCACTAATGGCTTGGAGACCGCAGTTAGAGATGCCCTGAGGTACGGCATGGAACGGTACGCAGCACCTTAGCCTTCCTTTTCAGGGAAAAAAATCACAGCTTAAAAAAGAGTTCTGTGTTAGGCACTGCTCAGTAGTCACAGGATAATACAGTAGCAATCATCTGGCTTGCAATGGGCAACTTCTTCACTAAAAACATACAAAAGCCCATCACAACTTCCCCCTTCACTGATAAGCAGCCTTCAGATGTCTCTAGGGGAATTCACTCCAGTGTAATTTAATGCGATATCATATTAGAAATGCAATTAGAAGCATGCCTGTTGACACATTGTGGCCGTATCAATGAAAATAGAACCTCCTCTGACTGAGGTCTCACTCCACCTGCTAAAAAGGAAAGTCTGAATGTTTGGAAATTATAAATATTACACGGGAAACAGCAGAGCAGATTACCTGGCACATGACAGATATACGACTTACTTCTGAATAATGCATGGAAAAATAGAATTGATTATTCTTCCATCTGCCTTTTAATGATCAGAAATGGCCATAATTTAAGTTAAATATATCAAGTGAAGATTTAAGTTACCAAGACTTAGTAAGACTGGCATCATATTAAATACAAATTTATTATTTCAACATGTGGAAATTATCAGTTATTCAGCTGCATAATTAATCAGATGTTAAAACCAAAGAGATACGGAGGTTGAAAAAAGTAAGTACAAACTACTAAGTTATGTAGAGTCACCACTGATATCAACTTTATAGGGGATCCAGGCAGGAGTAAAAACCACTTCTCCCCCGACCCGCAGTGCAGACACCCATCCCCTTCTGTCCCAAGCAGCTACCCTACCTCTTCGCCACAAGACGAGCTCTTCCTATAGTAGGGACATTAAACCAAGGGGATGTACAGCCCCCTTCTCCCCTCCTTCCCAACACTGGGGCCAGTGCCGGGACTGGCTCCTGCCCAGCAGCATCAGGCAGGTCGCTGGGCCGGCGGCTTTCTGCAGCACCCAGCAAAGGTGATGAGGAGACGGCGGGGCCGAGAGACGAGAGGGGGAACCGCATGGAGCATGCAGTCTTCAGGCCAAGCTGACCCCAGGACAATCAATAATACAAGGGAATAAGCGCAAGACCTCTTTGAGGGGAACTGGAGGCAGTGCATCTTCCCGGGGGAGAAAAAAGACCCGACCAGAGATTGAGGGCTTGAGATGGGAAGTGAGTGAGAGCCCGAGTCCTCAGGACATGGAGCGCATGGAAGGGGATTCTTCAAGGTATTTAAGTTGATACTAACAGCAACATAACGGCAGGACAAACAAGACCCCGAGGCAGGAGGAAATGAATATAAAAGTCAGCTCAAGTACAAGAGGGAAGGCTTAAAGCTGAAATGTCACTAGCAAAGCACCAGCTGCAACACCAGATCAAAGAAGAAAAAGATGATGAATGATATAGAAATAGGAGGAATCAAGAAGCACGTCTGTTGATTTGAGTGTGGCTCACGACAAAATACAAGCATTAAAGGCAAAGTTCTCCAAATCTGAAACCACAGACCCCTGATAGGGAATAAGGAGGTTAGGAACTGCAGCTCTGCTCCTGTTCTTGTGCTTTCAGTGCTCCCAGATTCACTTTGCTACGGTAAGAAGGAGAGTATGAGGCACTGAGATATTTTTATCTCTTTGGATCTAGTAGTAATTTATCATCCAGGCACCTCTGAGCTATGGAACTGTAATTAGCAGCGACGGACATTGGAGGAAGTCAGTGCCTGAAACGCTGAGCAACACTGACCCATCACCGTACTCGGCGGCAGCCTGGGGAAACACCAGCGATGGGAAAGGCGGCGAGAAGCAGCCGCAGGCAGGAGGCACAGCCAGAGCGGAAGGGGGGACACACGGCGGGTTCGGGGGAAGCGAGGGAGGGGGACAGAGAAAAACAGTTCACAATACTGACCTGTTTCAAGGTCTCCAACGCTTGAGGAAACATGTCTTGACTGTACTGCAGTTTGCCCACTCGCATCAGCTGGACAGCCCTCAGCGGATGGAAACCAGGGTAATACAGTCTGCGGAGAAAAAGGAGGAAAATGTGTCACTGTCAGCTCTCACCTTCACAGTCACTGCCTCTGCGGAGAGCTAGTAGGGTGGGACTGCAAAGCCATTGTGAATGTTAATAAAGTACTCGGAGAAAATTAGCTGCACTACTGAGAAGCATGAAATACTGAGGGGAATTAGCAAATTACTACTCTCCATCTCAGAGGAATGCCTTTAACATTATCCTGTTAGAAAGTGACGGGAGTGGGATTATTTAATTCGCTACTGTTGGATAATACAATAGCATTTACTGTACTTAGTGTTGCAAACAGAGGTCATTCACAATTTCAGGTCTCTGGAGAGGTATAATTTTAAGAGGAAGCTTCAGCAGGGAGCCCAGTCCTGGATCCTCCAAGATGAAGGAGAGGGACTGCAGGGAAAGCAGGTACGTAACATCCACCGTTTCTGAGGGTTTGCTTGCTGCTCCCCGTTGCAGAAAGAACTGGTACTGCACGTTCAAGGAAACATCTCAGACTTGGCTTGTGCATCTAGACAAGGTATGTGCTAGCGTCAGGATACACTCCCGGTCTTACTCAATTAATTTCACAGGAGCAGAGGTTTTCCATCGATCTGAATGGAGATACTAAAACCAGAACTGTGCTCTCTTTTTTTGTAGGAAGTAGATGGAGAGTAATGTCATCATCAAGTCTTCTCAAGATGTTCTTGAAATGTCCATGCTTTCGTGGTGGCCACTCCACAATTCCAAATCCCACCAGCCCTCGGCTCAAACGCCTGGATCTCACCCCAGCCCTGTGTCCTGGATGTGGAGAGCATGGCATCTTGGAAGAGCAACCTGGGGGCTGCAGAAAGTCGTGGACACGACTTGTCTGGAACTGATTAGCAGGAAAGACGAGGTGAAGGGACACGCCTGGAAGTTAAGTCACCTGCGAAAGATCTTATATATTTTTTGACTAACTACACAAATGAAAGAATAAAAGCCTTGAGCATGATTCATTGAAGACAAATGTCCTATTTGATCAAACAGCATTTTATTTCCTCAACTACACCAGCAGTGTGCTTGAGGGGTGTCTAAAAAAATACAAAATTTGTCACAACTGCAGGAAGAAGAGCCGATAAGCTTCCCAAAATCTACTCTGAAGAATTTTTTTTGTGTTTATGCCAAACCTATGATCCTCGGACTTCAGGGGAATTGCTAATGAATGATACCACTGCAGTCAGAAAGACACTTAAATCTGCATGAGTATGATCAACTGCATGCTAGGGCATTAAACGATGTAAATTTGTACAATGTATAGGAATCTTCTGATAAATCTGCATGCAAATGAATGAGTTACCTTTCTCCATTATTTTTCACTAATGAAAATGCAAACACAATTAAATACAAGAATTGTTTAAATGGCAGTGTATCTGGCTGTCCTTACAAATCTCAAATGAAGATGTGTAAGCATCACGGAAAATGTTTTCACACCCAGAACTCCCTTTTCTGCTGATCCCACGCGGTTTCAGTGAAACCATACAGAAACACATGGGAAGCATACCTGGCAGGATCTCAGGAGCAACAGCTCTTGATCTGCCAGAGCCTCTCCCGAAGCAGCAGAAACCAACTCTTCAATGAGAATAATCCGTCCTGAACTGCCACAAGCACCCCTTCCGACCCTTTGTGGGCTGCAGTTCAAAAAGGCTGGAGAGACAGCAGAGAAGAGAGAAGAAAATGATAGCACTTTTCTCAGTCCAAACTGACCACTCAAGAACCTCAAGGATCTGGTTAAACAAACACTGGAAAATTGTCAGTAGCTTTGTTTGTAGATTTTGTTTCTGGTTACTATATCAATTGCCATGGTGCTATCTGCTACTAGTTAAACAGGGGGGAAATGCAACTAAAAGTCAGGGATTCTGATGTGAATTAGTGAAGAGTCATAGAAATTGCAGCGCTGACACGGCACACGTGGGAGTAGTGAGCACATGCACAACTTTGTAAAAATTGCAAAAAAATGATGCCTATATGATTGCGTACTTCTGCCCTCCCCTGTGACTGCAGCAAAGGAAGGAGTGAAAAGGTCATTGCCTCTCCTCTGGGCCACCGAAAGGCCAGGATGCCTGGGGCAAGGATCACGGCCACAGAAGGAGCCAGGGAGGCAAAGACTTCTGCATGAGATGATAACTCATCTTTGCAGTCCACACTAGACTGTCTCTGCTGTATCCTGACAGCTCTGATATATTGTTTTCCCACTGCTCCTTCATGGCCTCGTCACATCAACTTCGTTCCACACCTTTACCTTTCATCCCTTCAACCATCTTTTTAATGCCTCTCCTTTACCCCTCCCTCCCAAATAGCCAGCCCCATCCAAAATACCAACACAAACAGGGACCTCGGGTCCTGCCTCGCCTGCAGCCCCCGCAGGGATGGCAGCCCACGGAGCCAAATCCAGGCTACGCTTCAGTGCAGCAACGCGGTGCCTGCTACTCTTCACACGGGTCCAGCAGAATGCAGAATCTGCCCCTCCACACAAACAGGTGTCTTTCTATAGATCATACATCCACCTGCAGTCAATAAACATTTAGGATTGTGGTATGCGCAATACCAGAGAAAACAGGTGGCAATTTAGCAATGTCAGGTACTCGGCCCAGACTACCAGCCATAAACTAAAGCAAGCGAAAATTTAAGATGAGGACACAGAAGGAGTAAGCGTGAAACAAAGAGCCCTGTGCTCATAAATATTTACAAAGCTGTTTTGCTGAGCTGATTTATGCTCTGATCTTATGCATGTACATAGTTACATTTTGCAAGCCTTAAAATTGACATTTGAAACAACTGTTTATTATCATATTCTGGAATAAAACTATTAAATTGTTGGAACACCTTTTGTGGAAGCACATCCATTGAGTGAGATTACTACAGAAATCCAGACAGCTTGCAGCTCTTCCGGGAGACGTCTAAGTGGGAAAAACGCTGCTGGCTTCTTCCAGGATCCCTAGGATTCAGTGTTATGAAAAAACTGGCATGGCAGAAAGAACTAAGAAGCAGTGTCAGGTACTTGTGAGCCAATTTATTATGTCCATGCATTGCTCTGAACAAAACATAGTGGATAAATTTAAGAATAAGGAAGACATTTACCAAGCAAGGAACTGGTACCTAAAGACTGTCAACAAGAGACTAAAAGACAACTATAGAGAAATACATGCTGCAAAACACGTTACAGCTTGGGAAGAGTAGGATTTCAGTCCAAAAAGGATTTGATGAGATTTACCAGGGCCTGAGGGACAGGAAGGGGAACAGTAACATACTGAAAGCTGAAATAAAGACAGTTCTGCGGAGTGCCGTTTCCCGGCCCATGGCACTGGTCAATGCCCAGTACTTCACTTGCAAAGGGAGATTAAACGGAACACAACAACTGACAAGCAAAGCCGTGCTGTAAACAAGAGAACTGGAGGCAGCTGCGACAGATCCGTACATTTTGTATCACATCCTCTGCTTATATACAGCTTTGTTCCCATCTATGATCAACAGCATCCATGCTGGCCTGGCCCTCCAGCCCGCCCTCCTGCCCACCGACTGGTCCCCCCAGTTTGGTGTCATCTGCAACCCCACCCAAGTGCCTTCATTGCCTCCTCCAGGTCACGGCTAAAAATGTTAAAGAGGACAAGCCCCAGCACCGACGCCTGCGGTACCCCGCTGTTAGCGGCATCCAAACCAGGTACGACCCAACAAAAAAAGCAATAGCTGCTTCTACTACATTATGAAGTGGATAACTCCTATCTGTAATTCAGCCACAAGGTTTGCCTTGATTAAGCCCCACAGTGGTCACCGATCATATACTTTATAAAGAAAATAATATTTTTCTTCATTCTATATATTAGCTCTGAATCTCTCCAAGCCATCCCTTATGTTCTCATGTAAAGGACAATGCAAAAAAGACAGCCCTTGAAAATTTTAGCCAGTTCCTTCTGTTTCTCAATACTGTAGTTCCATTAATTTCACTCATCTCCCATTACAAGGTAAATAATCAGAGCTTTTGTGTTCTCTTGTGAATTAAAGCCTAGTATTAAGAAAAACAGACTATGCAAAATCACTGCCTTTTCTGATGCCTCATACTTTAAAATAAATAGACACCTACCATGCCCTGTAAATCAGTCTGTGGGGTTAACATTTACACTGTTGTCTTAGCCTGATGTTATTAGAAGCAGGCAGGATTTATAAACCCTGCAATAAGGGTTTAAAATGGAAACGTTACAAGGCTCTTTAACGTGGTGACATGTAAAAAGTGATGCTACACATAACCGAAAATTGGTTTGCAGTATCTTTTGGTGCAAGTAAATATGACAACATAAAAGACACGAAGCAGTTTCAGGAGCCCCAGCAAGCGAGAAGGAATTAAGAAGGGGCTCCTGGGCTCCAGCGAGGACGGCGTCAGTTCCTGACAGCAACGCACTCGCGGCAGCTGCTGGACATGTCCCCCACAAATACAGCCCCCAATAAGGTCAACCTTCTCTTCTTTCTCTGACTCATTCTTGATTTCTGAACTGCTCAGTTTTGAGTACATTCATTAAAGCTGTTCACTGAACTGCAGCCTAGGAATTATTTTAATGTTGGCCAGTTACTTGTTTTTCTCATTATTCAGTGAAGTGAAACTGGTCATCTAACTCACATGGTATTATTTCTGCTCCTTGGCTGGGATGATCAATGGGTTCTAAACATGGGAATTGAAAGAAACATTTTTAGGACAAATTTAAGGACAAATTACTACTTGTGCTAAAAAGTATGAAACGTTCAGTACCTATTGACATTTCCAGGGAGGAACCAGTTATTTTATGAATAGTCAAAGAAATGGTATGCCTCAGGAACATAAGAGAGGTAAACTAACTGTGCTCATCGAGGAGCTTACAGCTCTTATGCCAAAGGTGCTGCAGCTGTTCAGTCTGAGCTCCTGCACAGGCTTTCACCTAGCAATTCCTGCTCCAAAACCAGCAATTTGAGGCTGGTTAGCAAGCAATGCTTGAAAATAATCAAGAA